GCCTAATCCCTCAGCAGAGACCCACTCAGGGGACGTTACAGGACCGGGTTGTTATGATCCGCTTGATGACGGAGGTTTTTAGCGCGGGCTCTCTCCTGCAGCGTGTTTACTTCCTGTCTCCGTCTCTGACAGCTGTTACTTCTCTGAGTTCACAGGGTGGTCTGAAGGACGCGGACTTCTGCAGGGGGAACTACTGTACCTGCGGTCACCTCGTCATGCAGAGCATTCTGGGATTCATGGCAGCACCTTTAATTCATGCATCTGAAGTAAACATCGGTGTGCAGTTAAATAAATAACGTTACAGCGTTGACTTTCTTTAAAAGAGTCCACACAGCGGCATGGTGGTTGTCTGATAGCCACCAATGTGAAGACCGCTTACAGGAATAGGACTAATGACGCCGTTGGGGTGGTATAAGAGGGGATTTATTTGGGCTTCTACTGTCCGTCTGATTGTCACGAGTTTTGTTTGATGCTGTAACTAAAATAAAATACCGCGAGAGGCTGCCAGCTTGATTCTGTCTTTGTGCGGCGATCAGTGGTAATCGGCGCCTATGGCCTTGTCGCCGCTGATCATTTACATTTACACTTATGTGTCAGATTCCACCGGCTTCTTTCCATCCCCTTGCCGTTCAGCGGGCTTCGATCGCAAGAGTTCTATTTTTCTGTACGCCGCAGCATGCCGGATAAATTTAGCGCAGATTAACCCGTGCTGGAGAGGAAGTCAGGCACAGACACAAAATAAAACATCCGGCTTCTTTTCAAAATAAAATACATGTTTCAGGCGGAATTTAACAAGTGAAAGGTTTTGAAACGTCATTTCACCCCGATGACACCATGGATGAGGAGATGCTGATTCTAGAAGTCTAGAAGTAGATTTCCTCCTCTAGAAGGACACAATCTACTGCTTATATGTCTATGTGTCTGTCTTTGTAGAGACAACACGTACAATTGTACGTGAATTCGCGGGTTTTCGTGAGTTCTCAGTATTCCTGCTGTTTGAAATCTAACACGAAGTTCGCCTCACAAACGCAACAGGTAGGAATTGCGGATGGTGAAAATCGCCGTTCCTTAGATCCGTTGTTCCGTATGTGGTGGAAATTAGGGGTAAGAAGATTGTAGGTTAGAATCCCAGGATGGGCAGAAGCCTGCAGGCTCCTCAGGTTAACCGGCAGCAGGTTTGAGTGTGTGCATGAATGGTTTGTCTCTATATGTGATAGACTGGTGACCTGTGCAGGATGTACCCCACCTCCATCCGCCCCGGGACCCCAAACTTATTGGGTGGATACATTCAAGATTACATGTAAAGCCACATGTAATCTTGGGGCACATCTCCAGGTGCAGGTCAGCACCACAAGTCCAGGCCTCAGATGTACGGTGCAGGGCTAAACACGGAGGTTAAGGTGATGATGATGTGCTTATTTATGGATGTGCAGCTCTTCACCTCACTGCATGATGGGAAATATTCAGATCTCCGTTGCGTTTGGGGTGTTTAAGTGTCTGGTTTAACTTCTGGAGGTGGAGTATTTCATCTCGCTCGGCCCACTCGTCCTCTCTCCCGGCCTTTGCCGTTTTTGAAGAGCTCATTTAAAGCAGAGGAGAGTAAATTACCTGTATGGAGATGACATTTCCATCTAATGTTCACTTTGAGGCCAAATTGGTGTCTTCCTCGAGAGCAGCAGGTGAAAAAAGACGCCTGATGTTCTCTTTCCATTACACCTTCTCTCTCTTTCACACTCACGTCTCATTTGTCTGAGTCACTCTTTCTTTTTCTCTCGCACACCTTCTTTTTCTTCTTCCATGACCCACGTGTGCCTTTTCAGCAGCAATCTATTACCCACTCCACATCTCCCTCCCTCCTCCTCCTCCTCCTCCTCCTGCAATCTGGACACCGTGCACTCTCTTGTTCTCCGCCGTATCTCCCACCATCAGTCTCTCCTTCACCTCCTCACCCTCACTTCTTTCCCCGCTCCTCACTTCCCTGTCTGTCTTCACCTGCGAGTCGCTCTTTCCCTTATCTCAGATTCGCTCTCTGATTGGCAGATAACTATCGTTTTGGAGGACCTCCACAAGTCGCTGCCTTCTCATTTCCTGCCTGAAATGGCTTTTCTGCTTATTTGCACCGTCAGTGATCATATAGACGCTCCTGTGCATACAGCGGTGATTCCTATCTTCTCAGCAGATACAGTAAAAGAGGAGGGCAGTATAGTCACCTTTTGAAAGATGTTGTTTTCTTTCTCCAGAGTACAGTATGTTTCTAACTTTGGTTTGAGATGTGAAAGGTCAAAGTTTTTCTCAGAGCTGCGGGCAAAGATATAATGTGAATACTGTGATAGGAAATAGTCTCCCTGCGTGTGTCCGCCAGCCTGAAGAAAGTGTTTCTGGAGTGAGCACAGTTTTGTTCAGTGTCTGATATCTCAGCTCAGTTTGGGCTGCGAAGACGCTGCCTGCTGTTCCCCTGATGTCTCCATACTGCTACAAATATATATCTCAGTGAGAGAGTACACACTGGAAGATGAATTGAGTCAAGTTTGTACGTGTTGCTCAAAGATCACTTCGCCTCGGAGGATGTACAATCCGTACAGTATTCACCAACACAGCCACCATCATTTTTATCACGCAGTTGGATGAGCTAGAATACGTCTTTATCTTTTTTCTTTTTTTTCAAAGACAGAAAGAAAAAAACTTGAAGGTAGAATTAAATCAGTGCAACAGAGCCTGGATAAAAGGAGGTCGAGTAAACCTGACACTGATCTTTGACACTGAATCCACTCTGAACCGCTCTTGATAAAGCCAGAGAGGTTTTTCAAAGATTCGAGTGATACTGACTTTAAACTGTGATTAACACTTGCTGTATTGGCATTAAAACAGACCATCCGATCTTTAATTATAGATTATGCTAGGGTGACCATACGTCCTTTTTTACCCTCATGTGTCCTCTTTTTGGGGCTTGTCCAGCTTTGTCCAGAGGACTTCACAAGATCCTTTAAATGTCTGAGCTTTTCATGGAAGTTTTGAGTTTGTATCGTGTGGACTAACTGAGTTAGAAGCGCCTAAAAACACTCAACCCGACCTGAAGAACCCTCAAAATTTACTAAGTGCAATTTCTAAACTCTGCCCTGTGTAGTCGTGTCCTCTTATTTTGGGGATGCAGAATATGGTAACCCTAGATTATACAGACGACATGAAGACAAGGGAACTGTCACCTGATACTTACCTGAACTCTTTATTTGAGCTGTCAGAACTTATGGTAATACAGTATAACATATCATCCATCGGAGGGCGCTCTTACTGCAACCCTGCCAATCCCTGCACTCTTGCCCTAATGCAGTCGTATCATTCACACTGAGGGGAGAATAACAACACCAAAACACCTGATCCACAGCGTAGACGGAAAAATAAAGACAAAGATCGGGTTGGATGACGACTTTGTACGAAGCAGCTGTTTCGCTCGCCTCACCTGATGGTTCACCACCCATGTGACGAGCCTCCTTTACGGCGTCTTTTTATGGCTTTTGAAAAGTACAATTGCAAAACTGGGACATATCGAACTCAAAGGCCCTGGATCCAGCGTGAATGGAGACGCCTTTTCATTTCAACTTGAAAACCACTCAAAACATGTGACTTAGTTTCCTGTAGGACGGGAGGGGAAATACTGTCAGTTTTCTGCACCAGTGTACGACATACGCAGAGACAGGTTTGCATCAATGCCTCGTTTCCTGAGGTGGTTACCGAAAGATTGATGATTGCAGTGAAAACTCTCTACAGCCTCATGAAGCATGCTGAGTTTGTTTATTGGATTATTCCAGCTCTCCTTCCTTCATATCCGACTGCTCACAATTACAATATTAAGAACTGAGACTGAATCTACACTCACTAACTCACTGCTAATAAAGACCACGCTGTGTTATTTGAAGCTGGGGTAGTTTTGGACGGCGTTTGAAGGATGCCGTCATCCTCTCCGCCTTCATTTCCAGGTTCTCGGTGTCCTCTCCTTGCTCTGCCCCCGCTGAACCAAAGCTGTGAATCCTGTCAGCTCTCCAAATTGTGCCGTTAAGCGCTCGCTCCACATTGTCACGCTGACTCTAATGCCCCGCTCGGCGCCCGGCTTCAGCCCGCCCCGCCCTGAGTTACAGAGGAGAGAGAGAGACACCGTCCTCAGAGCTGCCAGGTCTGCTAAAATGACAGGATGTGATGGACAGACACAGAGAGAGAGAGAGAGAGACAGATTCATAAAATATGATGAAAGAGAAGAGGGAAAGAAAGACGGAGAGCAGATAGACAGGGAGTTAAAAGAGAGAGAGAGAGAGAGAGAGAGAGAGAGAGAGAGTGAGAGAGAGAGAGAGAGAGGAAAGGAGGGTTATCTGTCATTTAGTTCTAGACGAGGTCTGATGGTTGCTCTCTGTGCTTCTGTCAAGCGCAGCATCAATATAATGGCTTGTTGGATGCCCGGTCTCTGTGGCCCGGCTTACTCCTGCTGTTATAATGGAAGACAGGCAGTCTGTGCCAGGTCTGCTGTCTCCTGTGACCCTTAAAGATGGAGTCTCCAGCCTCATGAGTCAGCTCCAGCAGCAATCCTTCCATTCTCTTTATGTTGTTGTTTACGGACCTTTATTTTTACTGTTGAAAAATCAAAGTTCTCCGCAGACGTGAACAGACTGAGTCATCGGTGGGGAGTTAAAGGGATATCCCGGCGTAAAATTAATTTAGGGTTAAACACACCGGAACACCGAGTTGAGAGATGAATGTTGCCGACCGCTTGCTTCTGTAGTTACACCAACTTTAGTAACGACCACAGGATAGCAATACACAGCGGTCTGAGGAGCCATAAACAAACCTCAACCAAAATGATAAAGTAATGATCATTTCTTTATCATTTCCTTGAAGTAATAATCACCATATTAATCATTTTACAGACGCAGTAGTTCTTCTGCCTTAGCGTCTCGGTCTGATTGTATTTCCATGAAGAAATGATCATAAACGTTCTTCCTTGAGCTGTGGCACCCCGCTGTAGTCTGTAGTGGACTGGCCTGAGGTCTTGCTACAAACGTCTGCTGGAAGAGAGTAGGTGAGTTGTGTTTAGTCTCTTTGCTAAAGAAATGAGTCAAAGTTAAAAAGATGTTTGGTGGCTAGCTAGTAGTTTTACAGCGGAATATCCCTTTAAACACACTCAGATCTACTGTGAACACTTGGTCTTGGTCTAGTGTAAGGTTACGTTCACACTGCAGGTTATGATGCACAATTCGGATTCTTTGTTAAATCCGATATTTCTGTGCGGTCGTTCACATTACAACAACGAATGCGGCATCTGAAGTGAACAGAATGCGTCTGTGAAGTGACCTGCATGTGCACAAAACACAAATCGCTTTGTGTTGTCGAACAATGGTAACGTTTGTCGCATATTGATGACATAAAGGTCGGATAAACGCGACCTGAGCGTCCACACTGCAGTCACATCGGATACATATCTGATTTATATCCACATAGAAAAGAGGCCTGGGTCGGATTAGAACCAATCAGAATTGACCTGTTCACACTTAGATGAAAAAATCAGATATGAGTCACAGATGGTTAAAAAATCTGAATTGACCTTCAGTGTGAACACAGACTTAGTCACAAATGCAGAGATGGACTTCACTTGTTCTGCAGCTGCTGACACTAGAGTCCAGGTTTGAGTTTAGTCCATGAGGGCATGAACAGATCTGAAAGTCTGAGAGGTTAAATTTATGTCCCTGACTTTCATAAACTGAGTCCTCTTTGAAATTTAATGTTTTCTTTCTGGAGGTTTCTTGTTAAAATATAACGTCCCCCAGTGTGCCGTGTTCTTCCTTACGGCTTTATCCTTAAACTACATCAGAGCTGAACAAAGAGAACAAAAACAGACACCGATCAGGCTGAATCCATCAAATATTAACCCAGAATCCAAACCTGAAAGTAATCACAGAGTTTGATCCGAACGCAAAGCTTTGGAAATCCTTAAACAACCAGAGACAAACACATTCATGTGAAGAAGAAACGTATCAGAATCACGACTCGGCTTCAGACACAGTTCCATGTTTTTAGTCCTCTAACAGCAGCAGTGATGAAGCTCCTGGTCCACAAACCTGCTGAGGTTACAGACACTTCAGCTGGAGTGTTGAATGAAGTAGAGATGAAACACCTTTAAACCTCCACTTTCTGCACTATACACTCTATATAGACTGGACCTGGTGCATTATGGGAAGGGTCGAGTGGGTGATTCAGGGCCAGCAGCACTCCTCCTGTCATTGGTGCTGAGCTGGCACTTCTGTACAAGGAAACTCATTTACACAACATTGTACAGGTGAAGGTCCTCGGAGAGCAAACAGATGTGTCCATGCTGGGATCAGTTTTACCGGAATTCTATATTTTGGTCTAAACGTTTGTGATGAATGAAAGTGCAGAAAAAAAAAGATAATCATCATTTGAAAACGTACTTAAGTTTAATTCTTTTGATGCCGTTTTGGTGCATATTTTATCCGCTCCTCTGGACGTCCATTTTCTGGATAATGTTTTAAATTGAAACATGCTGTTAAAAATGAGACGTCGCTTAAAAAAAAAGGCATTTCAGGTGGTTTTTGTATCACACTGGCTTTGATTCAGGGCTTGTTTCAGGCGAGAGCTTTGACAATGTCTGTGCTTCTGTAGTTAAAAAAATAGAATTTACTTTGGCTTGTGATCGAACCCCTAAAACCCTCCAGGATGTGTCAGTACCTGTCGCACTGACCGTGCAAAAGTGAGGCACACAATCTAAAATTAAAGAGCACTAAACTACCACACACTGCAGACACCCTGTTACGTTATTTAGGCTGTTTTATTTCCTGAAATATGCTTTTATTTTGAAGTTTACCTCTCCTACTAGATTGTAAATTACAGAACTGAATGGAAGCAGTAAAGAAACAGAAAAAGAAAACCTTTGAATGTCGTATTTTTAAGAGTCTGATCATCAGACAGCAGCTACAGCTAGCTCACTTGCAGCTGCTGCTCCTTCTTCGATCCCTTTTAGATTATAGTGCTTGTTTCAGGTGAGATCTTTGACAATGACTACTAGACTACTAAAACTAGAATTTACTTTGGCTTGTAATCAAACCCCTAAAACTCTCTCAAATGTGTCAGCACCTGTGGCACTGGCCGTGTATTTTGTAGAGTTGGTGGTCCCAACTTTTATAAGTGAGACACACCAGCTAAAATTTCAATACGGCAGACACTATGTTACTTGATTTAGACTGTTTTATTTCCTGAAATATGCTTTTATTTTGAAGTTTACCTCTCCTATTAGATTGTAAATTACAGACATAAATGAAACCCTTTGAATGTCGTATATTTAGAAGAGCCTGATCATCAGACAGCAGCTACAGCCAGCTCCCTTGCAGCAGCCCTCCTCACAAACATTTCCAGACCCTGATGTAGAAACCAAATTACTGAAGTATTGGCCTCCCAATCAACAGCACTTTATTCCCCTTTAAAGTCCGACCCAGTTTGGCTGATCCACTAAGTTTTCATCTATTTTCACAAGAATGGATTCATACACAGACAGAATGACGCAGATGTCACCAATGCAGCATAATGTCTTGCATATGGCGTACCAGTGTGGCGACGCAACGTAAAGAGGGATGGGAGATAGAGAAGAGGGGAGGTCAGTATTCAGTCTGTTTCTCAGGCCTAATTAGTCGCCTCACGGAGCACTCAAAGACGAAGAGATGGAGGAAGCAATGGACGGAGAGAAACGCAACAACTGAGGCAGAATCCCGGAGCAAATTTACTACTGAGCCTCTCACAATGACACAGCTAATAAAACAACCTTAACGGCTGCTCTCCTCCCTCTACATTTAGAGCCCTGTGATTGTAGCAGTTTGGGGCCAAAGTAGAAGGCAGTTTAGGGAAAGACGTGCAAAGCTGACACAAAAAGCAGCCAAGAGAAGAAGAAGGAAAAAAAGGCGTTTGAATCTCATTTTTAGTCAGCGTGGCGTTAAATCCAACGCTGTAAAACCTTTTCCCAGGTTCAGCGCTGAAGAGGAGGGAAATACCGGAGGGGGAATAAATGAGGTCTGCTTGGTCATGTATGGTGTAATGTGAAAGGAGCTAAATCAGCAGCATTACTCCCAGGTGGCAGATGAAGGTAGTCCTGGTATGAGCCTACATACAGCCTAATGCACGAGAGCTCCTAATGCGACAGCCTACACATGTGAATTTCAAGTATGTGAAGCTCATGGCCATCACGGAGCGGCTTCAATCGACTAAATTACAACCTGAATCACTTTGTTGAAGGCTGCTGATGATGATTATAAAAGCTCTCCGTTTGATTTCAAAGAGAATCCGAGAATAAAAGCTTTAAGGGGGCGAGTATGAAAGCTGATTAATTAAAAAGAGTGCAAAAGTACAGAGTGTCATCAGGATGGCATCAAAGTGCCATCGAACATCACGGCTGATACCCTTAGAAGATTGTTTCAGCACTTTATTACAGCATTATCCTGCCACTCTGACTCCAAATGAGAACTAACGAGGGAGACAGCTGCGAGAAACTCAACTATTACTTTCAGCTCTCCGCTCCAATCATCAATCATCACAAAAAGTTTGTGCGAAATCTTAAGTGTACGTGAAGATCTGCACGGACTTGAGTGCCCCAGTTATACGCCCGCTATAAGTTAGAGTTTGCACGCACTCAGAGATGCACTTGGTTATTCATTCCCCTGAGTGTGTGATGATTACTTCTGTGCCTGTTCCCTTCATCACAATAATGTGCAGCAGATGCAGAGAGGCGATCAGTGTTGGTGACTGCTCAGGTGGATGCAGAGGTTCAGTTCTCTTTGAATATGAGGCCTGTACTGAATTACAGTATGTCTGTTTTCTTCAATTTGTTTGAGGGACAGTGTTTAACATCCTGTGATCGTTTCAGAGATGGGTTTGTCCTTTTTCTACTTTGTTTTTTTCATCAGCTATAATCTAAATAGTCAGTGCTTTGTTGCATTCATAACCCACCCAGAGTAATATTGAATTTATCCTCCTGGTTGTTTGATTGGAGTTTGAGGTTAACTCTGTTGTTGAGAGTTGATGATGTGAGTTGAGAGGTTTTAACCAATCAGAATCAAGCACTGAACACAGGTGAGAATTAAAGGGATATTCAGAGGTGAAATTGTAACACCAAGTTAAAAACCACCTTCTAGAGATAATAATAATAATAATAATAATAATATCTTACATTTATATAGCGCCTTTCAGGATACCCAAGGCGCTTAACAACACACTACAAAAAAAAAAAAAAAACTAAATACCAAAAGCCTGAATAAACAAGTGTCGCTTCAGAGCAGACTTGAAAGAGTCAAGAGTCTGTGCTTGGCGAATCTCAGAGGGGAGAGAGTTCCAGAGAGGAGGGGCGGCCACACTGAAGGCTCTGTCACCGAGGGATCGCCTTTTCCCATAGCGGACAGTGAGGAGCCCAAGGTCCGCAGACCGCAGAGTACGCGCCGGGATGTAGTCCTTGAGGAGGTCAGACAGATAGTATGGGGCTAGGGCATGGAGAGCTTTGTAGGTGAGCAGGAGGAGTTTGTAGATGATGAATGAGATGAATGTTGTCGACCGCTTGCTTCTCTAGTTATACCAACTTTAGTAACGACCGCAGGATAGCAATACAGAGAGCCACGCCCTCGACCAAAACGCCACTCTATAGCCACAAATAATGCTCAGAACAGCACCTAACTTCATCAACAGGACATATAGGGTTTATAGGGTTGCTACAGTGGGGTGACACAGCTCAAGGAAGAACATTTATGATCATTTCTTCATGGAAATACAATCAGACCAAGACGCTAAGACAGAAGAACTACGGCATCTGCATTGAAAAATGATTAATATGGTGATTATTACATCAAGGAAATGTTAAAGAAATGATCATAAATGTTCTTCCTTGAGCTGCGTCACCCCAATATATTTATATGTAATACCAATAATCTATAATATTTTAAACATTACATTTTACTGCTATATACTGGTTGATGTACACATGGTGAAATTCGAATAAAATTTGCAAAAAGTAAAGTTAAAAAAAGCCCTCCTTCGGATCATTTCAGACAGTTTACCATGAGGGTTAGAGGAGCAGGAGGCTGGTTAACTTTGTTGTTTTTGTAATTATTTTTATCACTATCTGTTGTTTTTACTTTTACCCTTTACTGTGTGCACTTTGAGATCTGTTTTCTCAGATGTAAAGCGCATTATAAATAAAATGTATTATCATTATTATTATTAGCTCACAAAAGAGCCTGAAAAAGAGACACAAAGTTTGATTTAAAATCCTATCATCAACCCTGGATCACTAAAGCAGGTTCATTTACTACAGATTTCAATCCATGTGGAGGTCAAAGGTCAGTAAAGTGCACAACAGCGACTCTGGATTAAGCTTCATTGTTGTGCTGATGGTTCTGTTTGAAAAGGTGCTGCCTTTGCTAACTCTGCAGAGTCGAGACCTATTCCACCAGCACGTCCGCTGAATTAGTCATAAAGAGAGGGAGACTGTGCTGAGAAATTCCCAGATGCGGTACAGTCGGATTGCTAATGGATTTGGCTGTCACGTGTTTCCCCGGTCTCACCGACGGTACAGTACGGTCGATTGTTACATAAGGACTTAGCTTCAGGCGGCAGAGGGATAAATGTACTTAGCTTCACAGATATTCAGGAGATGGTTCCCCTGCTGCGTGTACATATTCTCCTGTTGTAAAGTCTGGCTCTGAACATTAAACAGAAGATATGCAAATGGCGAAGCTGCCAGTCGTCATCTGCTGATACCCGTTTCCTCTGTGCGTCTGTCATGAGCCGCGGGGGGAATCATTTCAGTTGATTACTCGACTGTGTCAGATGTCGTCATTAAGCCAAATCAAGAGACACAGACGAGGGAAACCAATGGGGAGCAGCGTCGGGAAGAAAAAGGAGGGAGCGTTTCTAAACTGCAGCAGAGCGATGCAGAAATATAGAACAAGGAGCGTGTGTGCATGTATGTGTGCGTGCATGTGTGTGTGTGTGTGTGTGTGATCAAGAGAGAAAGAGAGAAAAAAAAGCAATTCTGAAAAGTTCATTGAGACAGGTTTTTATGACGAGCTGCGCCGGTCTTGATGGCGGGGGATCAAAAGGAGCTATGTGTCACGGGGCAGACAGCGCCTTTTCAAGGCCTGTCAGGCTGGCAGCATTTAAAGTCACAGTTATTTAGTTTGCTTGGACAGACACGGCACTAAAAGAGACCGAGGAGACGGCACAACTGGCATGTGGATTGAACGGCACTGAAGTACAGCGGGCAGCCGAGATTTATGCTGCCATTTTTGGGCTGTCAGGGGCTCAGAGGAGCGAAGTGTCACTCACTCTCAGAGTCTTTTTGAGGATTTTCTGCACTTGTCTGTCACCGATTTAAGATTAATGTGATCAGCTCACACAACAGCCACTGGACGCCAAGAGACCCAGAGCTGTCTGCCTCGGTCTTCATCATGTCTGCCCTCGATAATTATAAAATATAGACGAGAGAGAGACTCCTGACAAAAAAACAGCTCTGGGAAATACCTCCTGGATTTTAAAGGTCTAATCATCTCAAAACTGGTCACTACATCATCATATATGAATGAGCACAGTATGCAGTGGTTGACCGATAATGATAATGTGAGAGCAGGTTAGCCCAGGGCTCATATATAATAATCCTGATACAATATTGATTTGGTAAAACAATAACACAGGAGCTGTTTTCCAATCGGCCTACTTCATACTCCTGCCGACCGCAGTATACAGTAGATACTTGCTCGTCCTTGTGTCGTCAGTATCAGAGGGAAAATAAGTGTAGTTCACACTCCAACACAGTAGGTGGCAGTAATGCACCTGAAACCTGAGTGACATCCCCAGAATATGGCAAAGAAGAATGTTGGCGCCGTGCAAAATGACACATCCACTCCGATTTGAGTTTTTGCAGCTGATTGAGGTCGACGCAAACATTTCTGAACATTTTCCAAACTCATCCGTCTTCTGTGTTTTTATTTATTTTCTTTACAACTTGGCGCTCTCTTCACTCGTGCTCCAGGCAGCGCTCTCTCTCTGTCCCGCTCCGTATGTCACAGATTCGTACGTACCGCTGCTGTTTGGAAAATTACATTTTCTTAAAAGCTCTGGGTTGCTGCTGTTTCCTGATAGTTGAGCCCATATGATGGAGTCTGCTGGTATGTGGTCTGTGCGGCGCAGCGGGGGGGAGACTGTTAGCGGGGGAAATGAAGGAAAGAGCCGGGCGGTCACACAATGACGACCATCTCCATCAACTTGAACTGCGCCGCACAGCTGAGAGTGTGGCGGCGTGGAACCGAGAGCGACAGCCACCCTACGGAGATGATGGCGTTCCCCTCGTGTTTATGTTGTGTTTGGAGTCTAAAAGTGTTTGTGAGTCATCTTCACGACAAAAAGAGCCTCGCCTACAGATCAGAGTGACGAGCTTTAAGGATCGGCTTTGACGGAGTGTCAGAAAGACTGTTGGTTAAAAATGAATTAATACACTGGTGCAGGATTAGTCTGAGCCATTCGCATGTTGGTGGGAATGAATCACATGATCTCTGGTGACCCAAATCTGCAAAAGAACTTTCTGTGATCATTTTTATGAACTTAACAAAAATATTAGAACTAAACTTTTCTCATTTTTAAAATATTATCAGTGAAGATATTTGGATATTTGTCAGTACATAAATATCTCATCCCCCCGTTCAATGAAAGCTATAAATTGCAGTTCCCTGAGTGTCCACTTGAGGCTGTCAGCAGAAGCACCGTGAACCACATACACACTCAGTCAACAGATCAGTCGTGGTGAAGAAAGAGCTGAGCCGTAAGGCCAGACTCTTGATTTACCGGTTGATCTACGTGCCGATCCTCAGCTATGATCATGAACTTTGGGTAATGACCGAAAGAACGAGATCACAGATACAAGCGGCTGAAATGGGTTTCCTCCTAAGGTTGTCCGGGCTCAGCCTTAGAGATAGGGTAAGGAGCTCGGACACTCGGGAGGAGTCAGCTGAGGTGGCTCGGGCATCTGGTTAGGACGCCTTCTGGACGCCTCCCGTTAGAGGTGTTCCAGACATGTCCCACCGGGAGGAGACCTTGTGGACGGCCCAGGACCAGATGGAGGGATTATATTTCTCACCTGACCTGGGAGCGCCTGGAAATCCCCGGGGAAGAGGAGCTGGTGGAAGTGGCCGGGGTGAGGGCTGTCTGGGCTTCCCTCCTGAAGCCCAGACAGACACACGAATGAACGAACAAATACTCAGCCAAAAAAGCCCATCCTTAGAACAAAATAAACACTTTTCATCAGAAGTCTTAGATGTGTGCGAGGAGATCCTTGACTTAAAGTTTCCAATATGGCGACCAACACTGATGGGCTTCAAAACTCCACAAACGAACAAACAAACGGGTGAAATCACAGCCGCTATTTTACAGTCTCTGACCCTCCTCTTCATTGTCAAAGTTTGAACATTTCCATGACTTCATTCTGAGTCATCAGTGCTCCCGTCCAAGTCAAGAGTCCTAATATTAGGACTTGAGTACAACTCTATCATTAAATATGATTTTGCAAATAGTATACCAACACATTTTCCACTCGAGGACGCCATCTTTATCTCAGAGTTTTGGAGGACTTCAGGTTTTAAGACGTTTGCACTGCTGACGTCGATTCATCGGCTGAACTTCTTAAAGATAAAACAAGGTTGAAGCGTTGGTGACACCAACATATGGCCTGTGCAGTTTCCATCTTTAACCCTCTTAGAGATAAAAAACAATCTTTATTTTTAACACCGGCTCCCTGACAGGATCGTCCCTGAGTTTACATAGTCAGAGTCTCTAAAGTTGTACGGCGCTGTGAGTGATGGTCACACCTCCATCTGACGGTGTTATTGTGTGATAAACATCACACAGCGGGGCATCAAAAGGCCCGGTGATCTGAAGCAGGAAGTGAGAGGAGAGCGGCCTCGCCGCCGCCACATCGATGGAGTAAATGGAGAATGAAATGATGTCTGTCCGAGGTCATTGCACAGCGGCAGAGCGAGCACAGATAAAAGAAGCAATTCAGGAAGCGGCCGTGTACAAGGCTGGACCGCTCGGATTCATGTTTACACTGCTGCAAACAACTCATTTAATGAATCAGTGAATAAAATCTGCAAACGTTGGAAACAACGTCTCAGTTCTGAAGATCTCAACGCCGTTATAAACAGCAAAGGATGTTTTTAAAGTGGAATACAAAGACTGAAACGGACCGATTCAGTAAATTCACTCTTTAAGAGTCTATTAAATACAGATATAATCAGTTCTCACAGAATATGAGGGGGGGAATCAATTAATTATATTCATCTAAAAATATAAAAAAACAAATTGTACTTTTCCAAAAAATACATGTCTAGAAATATCAATAACAAATAAATAAATATCAATAATCTATCAGGGGTAGCATTCATACGTAACTTCTTTTTCTTATCCTATTATTACCGTATTTTTCGCACTATAAGGCGCACTTAAAATCCTTTTGGCTTGTCGGAGCACTGCAGCTACCGTAGCCTCGGGAGTTATTGACTGTTTTGTTTGGCGTAATGCGCTTTGTAATCCGGTGCGCCTTATGTATGAAAAAAGGCGAAAATAGACACGTTCACTGATGGTGCGCCTTATAGTGCGCAAAAATAAGGTAAGTTAAATTTTCGTTCCCAAGGTCCGAGCTGCAGCTTATCTTGCTCATGTGCAAATAAAAAACTGCAGTTCCTCAGGTGTCCAGTTGAGGCAGTGTTTAAAAGCGAGTTCAGTCCGTTCTCCACCAGAGGGCAGCATGTTTACGACAAAACAAACCCTCATTCTTACATCTTGAATTGGGAATGATTTTTGTACAACTTAGACGTAGACGGAGCGTTTGTGGTCCCGTTGTTGTCTGATGATAACCAAAGAAATCAAATTTCCCTAAAATGACTTTAGTTCCTCTAAAGTGAAACATCTCTGGTGGGGTGGAGAACGCTCCTCTTATCGCAGAGAATAAAAAAGTCATAGACAGGAGCCTTGGGGAGTAACAGCGGTGAAGATTCCTACATTAAAATGTTCTTGTCAGATTCAGTACACTCCCTGTGAACTTGAATCAGCGTTCTCCACAAAGACTCTCGCAGCACTCATGTCCCCGGCGTGCCACCCATGCTCTGCAGAAGAAGAAGAAAAAAACTGCAGCAGTAAAAAAGTAAAAAAGCGCTCCTCTCTGATCTTCCTGGAGCCGCTGCGTCTTGTTATTGTATTAATTTAGCTGCCAGATATTCTCTGTGTTTGTAATATTCCCCCGTCACTCGTCTCAGTCAATTCTGCCTCTGCTTTCTGTAATTTTCATGTTGGTCCCCATCACTCGCCTTAAACATAAATTAGTCCTGCGCCTGGTAAATACTGCTCTCCACCCCAGTCAGAGACAAAGAGAGTATCTACAGGAGGAATATACGAGCATCGATCGGCCCTCGTGGCCACGTCTGGTCTCCACAATAGCACGCTATTGATGTGCTGGAATTGCTTTTGAAGGCAGACAGATTGATATAATGGTGTGTGTGGATCCTCCAGGGCTGGGCTGCCAGAGCTCCAGTCTGATTCAACGACCTTGGGTCAATCCATCCATTTGCATCGGCCCTCTTTGGTGTTTGTGCTGCAGACATGGAGGTTCCTCCGAGGGGACTGCGGTCCTTCTCTGAACCAGCACCGGAACAGCAAATGGACCCTTTTACTCTCGCTGTTGATTCTTACTGCAAACAGGTTAATGTTATTGATTTTGTGTCCGCTGTGACCTGTAAAAGGGGATGTGATGGCGTGCTGGCAGTTTCTGTTTCCTCCCGCCTGACCTTCAGATCTGAGTTTGTGTTTTGACCTCTCTCACTGTAAACTTAGAGCTCGTGTGAAGACTTTATGTTTGTGTTGAGTTTGGTGCCCCCTGTGGACAAAGTTTGCTGAATCTTGTGTATGTGTAAGTCTGTTTTTAATGATTTTATTCATGATATTGACAGAGATAGTAGGATGAGTTAGTAGTGGGAACCAACTAAAGAAAGTCTAACACTCACTTTAGCGTGGTTATTCGTCTCTACCTCCTGCTATCCTTTCATACTGGTCACTTGTTGGACTTCACTTCCTCTTTTGACAAAGTAGACCCCTCTATCCTCTTAAACCATCTCAAACATCATGTTGGTACCCATGGTTGTTCTCTCTCCCATCTTTCTTAACCCCCAATTTCTACCGCATCTGGAATGGCGGCGGAAAGGCTGTATGCGCCAATCGCAGCTAATCGTTTCCATTTAAGTTAATGTGTCAATTTCCAACGGCTTCTTTCCGGACTCTGCAGCCGATCACCTGAGTTCTTCTTCTTCCGGACGCCACAGCATGTTGCATAAATCAAGCACAGATTAGCTTGTGCTGGAAAGGACACAAAATAAAACACTCCATGTTTCAGGATCGTATTTCACACCATGCAAACGGGCGGAGACGAACAAGTGAAAGGTTTTTAGACGTCATTTCACCCCGATGACACCATGGATGAGGAGATGCTGAGTCTAGAAGTAGATTTCCTCCTCTTGAAGGACACAATCTACTGCTTATATGTCTATGTGTCTGTCTCTATAGAGACAACTTGTTAACGCATGATTGCACCTGAATCCGTGGGTTGTTGTGAGGTCTTGCGATTCCCGCTATCCAAAATCTGCCACAAAATTCGCCTCACAAACACATCTGGTAGGAATAGGCGGATGGCGAAAATCGCTACCATTCAGGATGCGTTGGAAATTGTTGGTGACAGACAGATCCTTTTCCATCCAATCCTGTTTCTGTGCATCTGCTTCCACCACCCAAGGAGTCCCTTAAGGCTCAATATTAGGACCTGAACTCTTCACCCTGTACTTGACCCTCAGAGAGAATCAGGAATTACTGGACATCATGCAGCCAATAAGATTCAGACGTTCACTCTTAGCCTTGTGCATATTTGCAGAACAGAGGTAATAACTGAAAAGGAGTCACAGTTTGTTCCCCTGTCGGTAAATAAATATGCTCCTTTAATTCTGGAATCCCTGACATTGAGCTAAATCCTTTTCGAAAGGCGCTCACCTGCGTGGATCCAGAGGTAAAAGTCGTGCCTTATCATCACCTGTTTTCGTGCACTTTAGATAAATTCTGCGGGGATGTGTAACGTCGACTATATTGAACCTGAAAGATGAAAACTGTCAAAGTAGCAAAGGCTTCGGGCTGACAAAAGGGACACAGTCTCGCTGCTGATGTCAACTGCATTTGTTTGTTTCTCTGAGTGATTGCCGGTGTGTTTGTTGCTCTCAGCAACTTTTTCTGTTTGTTGTTGCACTTTTCTTTTCGCTGAGTTTTCAGCCGAGATGTGTCTCTAAAAAAGAAATCACACCAAGGCGAGAAGTAATATCTGGAGCAGCAAACATCGTGGTAGGTGGTCCATGTTTTCCTCCAAAATGAAAGCTCTGACCTTATATGTGGTCCTTGGTGGAGCAGAGCTCATGAGATTGTTTTCAGCTGCAGGGCTTCACTTTGTCTCTGTGTTTCTCTCGGCTTTTATTTTACTTTATTTACCCCTCTTTTGATCCCTCCACGTCCACCTCTCTCTGTCTGCACAGGACGCCGCCGCCGCCGCCGCCGCCGCCGCCGCCGCCGCTGCCGCCTCTGCACCTGGCGAAAAGCGGCCTTAATCCAATACTGGAGCTTCTTTCTTCCTCCGGGCTCTTCTTCACTCCTCTGATCCTTACTCTTGTTTTGTATGTTTTACGTCTGAAGGGAAAGTTCACTTTTCTCTCCTTGTGAAGATGTTTTAATTTAAACACACCTCCCGTCTCTTTTCTGTCAAACTGCATTTTTTCCTCTGAGTGTCTTTGTATGAGGAAATACCTGAGCAATATTCACCAGCTGATCATAACATCAAGAGCAGGAAAGATGTCTACCTGCAGAGTTTCCCCTGCTTCTGCATGTGAATGATTGCTTTTATTCTGGGGTGGGAAAATATAAATCTGAATTCTTCGACAGGAGGCAACAAAAGACAGATATAAATAACATCTGCTCCAGGAGGGATCCCTGTGTTTGGATGCCAAGACGTGTCTGCGTCAGGCTGCTGACTTTAAATTCAGAGCAGCTCTCCTCAGAAACAAAGACATGTGTTTGCGTCGGTAATTTGCAGGTGCAAAGCGTTTGATTTAACATACATTTATTTCCAAAGATGGGTTTAAACTTCCTGCTAGAAAAATATGATTCTACCGTTAGAGTTTCCGCCTGTGTGCTGCCTCAGCGGAGGTTTTTAAAGACAGATATAAGCTCTTAGTGCGAACAAATGTATGTGGAATAAAAGCCTCGGTGACACTAAAGGCGGGTTTGCATGACTGCTGTCTCTGTTCTGATTGAAAAGTCTGTGTTTACATCTGTGTCGACCCGGTGTATAAGCGCTCTGCTGAGAGGACTGAAGATCAGAAGGTCAGAGGATGGATGGTGGGAACAGAGGAGAGAAAGGTGATGCATAAATACCAGGAAAAAAACGGCAAAAAAGGAGCCTCTCGATAAGTAGAAACAAACCGACAGCTCTAGGAGGGACGACCAGAGCTTTAGGAGATGATGACCCAACAGGTGTGGAGGGGAGTCCACACCCTATATCACAGCCAATGAGAAGCTAAAGATTTGATAGACGTTAACATGACACTCGAGAAACCGAATTATCGCCTTATTCCGATTAAGACCAGACAACTGAAGGTCATGTAAACACTTTTGTCAGACTCTAATCAGAGTTTGAGAACTCTGATTAAGACACCCAGATAATGTGATTGGAATTCGATTTTCTCAGCACTTTCTTATTTATTTTGCGATTAAACATTTTTACACCAACTGAACCGGTTTTATGTTATGTCCTTTTCCTTCCCGAGCTGGGTTGTAACAACGTGGACAAGGAAAGAAGTCTGATTCAGAGAAAAAAACTTATTCTGAGCTTAGTCCAATTAAACTGTGCATGTAAAGGCACTGACTGTGAAGTTGTGAAGTTAAGATCTCTCAGACTGCAGAGGTTTACTTTCAGGTGTTTCCTGATCCATCCCAGAGACCTTCAATATCTAATCTGTCAGACAGGATCATACATAATTGTCTTGCATTCAATAAACAGGCTCCCCGGTGTATTTCCCATCATGCAAACACCACCTGTTTCCTGGCAGAGCAGATTTATGTCTGTGACTGATCCTGCTAAGAGCACCGTCGATGTTGGTAAACTCCTAAATCTTGACCGGACTTTAAAAATGTTTAATTTTCATGTCTTTATTTCATTCATGATGGTGTTTTACTTTTTAAAAACATGATTCATCCTGAGAAAAGAGTTTCTGATGAGTTCAGTTTCATGGTTTTGAGCACAAAAAGGCTAAACGTCATCTCACTTGAGCCGTTTTTGTGTCTTTTTTTTACTCGCGGAGAAAAGTAAACCAGAGGGTGTGTAATTGCACCCTCACATTTAGCCTTGTGAACACCCTGCTGTCAAATCGCTGCCATACTATAAAGTTTTCTTTTTTTCTCTTCCGTCTAAGTGGCTGAGAGACAGTTGGCGTCATCACCTACTGCAATAACAACCATAATTTCACCATCTGTCTCCCAATCCAATATTGGCTCTACTTCAGCTTTCTTATTATATGATATTATTTTCTAACCAGAGGTTGCTCGGATAAAGAGCGGAGGATGGTGCAGCACGAGGCTGCCATGGCAACACAGTGCCAGTGGTCATCGGGTCTCCAGATGTCTTTGAAATGGTCGGTGTGCATTCGCTTCAAACAGCACATCACACAGCGAGCCCTCTGAAGTATCCTGGTCTTACCTCATCCTTTCATCTGGGGCTAAATAAGTCTTTCCTTTTTCCGAACGCAGGAGGAGGAGAAGAGGAGGAACATAATAATCAGGGAGCGGACACTCAGGTCATTACAGTTGCAAAAGAAACTTTGAAACGGAAGAACGATCTTTTACCTCGATAGTCTCGTGGATTCGCCCCCGACACTCTGAGGAGCTGCACAAAGCTGAAAATGAGAGTCAATATTAAGAGAGTTTAGAGGTGGAGACAGTTTCAGCAAACATCTCCTTCCTGCGAGTAATCCGAGCGCCGTCAAGTATCAAACAAAAGCAAAGATGCATAGTGACTAAACCCTGTGATCGCCTCCTAAACACTAGCCCGTAGAGACACAGTCTGGACCCTGATCGGGATTGACGATGTTTGATTTTAATTAAAGCTGGGTTACATCTGAGAGAGATCTGCGGGGTGCCGCAGCTCAAGGAAGAACATTTATGATCATTTCTTCATGGAAATACAATCAGACCGAGACGCTAAGACAGAAGAACTACTGCGTCTGTAAAATGATTAATATGAAGATTATTACTTCAAGGAAATGATAAAGAAATGATCGGCAGTCAATGGACTGGCCTGAGGTCTCGCTACAAACAAGCGGCTGCTGGAAGAGAGTAGGTGAGTTGTGTTTAGTCTCTTTGCTAAAGAAATGAGTCAAAGTTAAAAAGATGTTTGGTGTCTAGTACTATGTCTGTGACCCTATATGTCCTGTTGATGAAGTTAGGTGCTGTTCTGAGCATTATTTGTGGCTATAGAGTGGCGTTTTGGTTGAGGGCGTGGCTCTCTGTATTTCTATTCTGCGGTCGTTACTAAAGTTGGTTTAACTAGAGAAGCAAGCGGTCGACAACATTCATCTCTGGAGGGGGGGTCTAACTCGGTGTTACGGTGTTGTTTGACCCTGAATTAAATTTACGCCGGAATATCCCTTTAACTATCAAAAAGGTCTTTTCAGAGGGAATCTTGAGTTTCTTCATGGAGTTCCTCAGGGCTCTATTCTTGGTCCTGTGTTATTTTCTATTTACCTACCTTATCAGTGAATTCTATATGAAATACCATCTATATGCCGACGACACTCAACTATATGTCCTCATTGAAAGACGCAACTTTTGTCTGAGTGAATTTTCAGCTGTTGTCCAAAGGAGATCGCGTTTACACAAACATATTTATGCTAACGTTGTTGTTTTGTATTTTAATGTCGGTCTGGTTTGGTTTTATCATTTCTGTTTATGGTTTCTGTGTTTTGGTTTTAGTTGGTTTTTGAGTCCACATCCTAACAGACTCTCCCTGTCTTTAATAGCTGAATATCCATCCCTCATTGAGCGCCTCCACACTCGCAGAGGCCTTTGGGACTGAGATGACAGAGGACAGTCCATTCAGGATGAGATTATAAACTGAAAAGCACATTATACCCACTCTGCCTCATTTGACTTTCAGCTTTGTCCATGGCTCACAGGTTATGATAATGGTTATGGACGCCGGGGCCCGCTGAGTATCTGCAGCTTTGCATTCATAACGGCAGCCGAATACAGTCGGCTTTCAGAAAGGCAGCGTGTTACTTCCCCTTCCTGTTAACACCGGCGACGCTTTTCTTTACAGGAAGGGCTCAGTGTCAACGCGGCTTTCTGTCAACTGAATGTCACTCATCGTTATTTCGGGCCTTTTGCAGAGGCTCTCAGCTTCTTCCCCACCTGTGCCCGATGCAAAGGCTGTTAAATTGAAAACCACAGCGAGGAACAGCGCAGGCTGCCTTATTATCAGGCGCCAGCTGGCTTCATGGAGTGCCCACTTCACCTCGTAACACAGGCCTCATTCAGGTACAAATGTCCTGTAATGTGCCCCCCTCCGCACACACACATACTTCCACACCATCTGCTCTCAATTATGCTGATTTGTATCTTTTTAACAAGGAAGCTTAAGCGCTAGTTTGACTCAGAGAAGCGGAAATGAGGTGTGTGTGCGTGTGAGTATAAGTGTGTAAGACAGGAGAAAGTGTTCCTGATTCTTCACCAACTTAAAAATGTTTAAAGGTGTGACACTTGTTTGCGGAGAAAAGGAAAAGCAGAGCACCTCTTAGTTTGAGAAAGTCGACCTGGAGTGTGACTTGTTTCAGAGCACAGATGGCATGTGTTATAAAAATCCTCTGGTGAGATTGAGCTACCTCTCACAGAGTCAGAACACTTCCTCATCTAACCCAGACTGAACTCCACATCTTTAGCCACGCTTGTTTGTTTTAAAACTGAATCAGGACTCAAATCTGCACAAAAACTCGTCTCCATGGTTTGACTAAAAGGAGAGCGTGAGCTGATCTGCATTTTTACAAACTTAAACTGTCACATGGATGGCAGGTTCATCTTTAGACATGTTGTCAAACAGTCGGCTCCAGTTTTCTGTAAAGTTCTGTAACTTTCAGGTTGTTCTGTGACCGTGTAGCTGTGTAAAAAGTAGCACCCATGAGCTGTGTCCATATCATTGGCCTTCTATATCTGCCCTGTCTGAAGGACCTTTGACATTTAAGTGAAATTCTGCAAATCTGTGCACTTTGCTCCACTTCTGTTGTTTTGCTGCACAGAGCTGCACTGTGCACTCTCATCCTGATGGTGTGAAGTTTTATGGGATAAAAAAGGGAAATTCTTCACCAGCTTTTCACTGTTTGTATCCAGTTTAAACTCTAACAGGGTCACCAAGATCCCCAAGCGTCCCCCATCGTTTATGTTGACCCGGCTTTTTAGCTCTTGTCCGGTCTACCTCCGTTTTAAGCGCCCGTTATTCCTCCAGAGTCTCCGGTATTTACTTTGTTTTCTTGCTTGTGTCGGCAGTCGTGGCCAAAGGAGGATTCAGACAATTTTCCGAACTTTCTGGTTGGATTCTACTGTCCGATATTGTAGCACGCTAACTTTGTTTGGGCTCCTGAACGACACGGGGAGCAGCGTCAGGGAGCAGCGTTGGGGAGAACGGCTTTGTTTACAAAAAATGTAAAATATTGACTATACAGACATAAGAGAACACAGAGATATCGATATATTCCCAAATGTCATCAATAACTAAGAGCTATTGACTGATGCTTCTTTAACGGATTCCTGCCTACTCTACCTTTAAACTCCAGAATGAGCAGCTCAAAACAAAAAACTGTTTTTTTAACACTAAAGAGTTTGTGCATGACTACTCTTCAGAAATACTTCAGTGCAAATTCCACCGACTCTCAGCAGAAGGTAAAAACTCTGCAGGGCTGTTGGTGGATCCGATGTTATTTTCAGTGAAATTCATTTGCACAAAAAAGTGCATATTTTGCTGTAAATATGCATGATGGCTCATATCAATGTGCAATGATGTTTTTTTTCTCTGCAGCAGTTTGTGGAGCGATAAACAGTTTGCACAAACGTTCGGCTCATTTGCACAAGTTTAGCATTCACAAAAGCAGCACAGTCCTTCTGTGAAACTTCGATTTGTGTTTGAGCAAAACATGTTTTCTGAAGTGAAATCAGATGTTTTAAAATCAGTCCATCAAATCAAGAGTCATTAGTGAGTCTTTTGTTGCCGGACAGTTAACATTACTAAAGAGGAAGTCTTAGTCCAGATACTGTCTGATCTTAAGGTTGTGATCCGGTTTGATGGTGCCTCCTGGATTCAGTCAAACTCAGATTTCAGTTTGTTTTTGTTTCTGAGTTGAATTAAATCCTCAAATCTAGTCCATTTTCTAATAAAGCAGATAAAATACTGATTTAGTTCAGGTCACCATTCACTTGACCTTTAACCACCAAATTTTAGTTCCTTTATCCTCGAGTCCAAGTGGCTGGTTTTTCCAAAATTTGAGACTTTTCCTCCAGGCGTTCCTTAGATATTGAATTATTGATGGATGAGCTGAGTGGTTTCCACTTTAGTGCCAAATATTTGAAACCAAGCAGGGTTTTTTTGGTCATGTTTTTAGTAAAATTCACCTCAATAGACTTGAAATAAACCACATCTACACCTTTATCTACGTCTCAGTGAAGACTAGAAGAAGGTTTTTCTTGAGGTAACTGAGGAAACTCTTAAAGGTGTTCTGATCGAAGGAAAAAAAGCGAAATAAAGCGAATAATAAAATGTAAATATGTGAACACCAGCTGAGTAAGAGCAGCACTAAAGAGCAGGAGGAATTACATGCTTTACACTGCTAATGAATCTCAACAAAAACTCTTACAGTATGTCGCTGATGCATTAGTGATGTGTTGTTGTTGTTGTTGTGAGTTTGTGTGATAATAAAGCCCATTATAATAATCACATATATAATCAGTGACAGATGTAAGCGGAGGAAATAAACAAACAAAGCTCTCACTTTAAAGCTGCAACCTGCCAGATTTGACTGATTTATTACTTTCATAATTCTCGCCGCGTGCTCGCTCTTCTTCTTCTTCTTCTTCTCGATCGAACCGCTGACCTTCAGATGTCAACATCCATAAAGCATCCCGACGCGCCGCGAAAGCAGCTGATGCAAGCAGAGGAAATCTACAGTCCTGGAAAAAAAAAGGAGTTTGAGTTTTCAGCTGCATGTGATCGAGCTTTTTCTGCTCTTTTAATCACAGGAGAGGAGGTTTTTACCTGAAGACGTGAGTTTTCAAGACTTTGTTGATGTTTGTACAGCAGACTGAAACTCGTATGGATGCTCTCCGAGGTTAGAAACTTTGACTTTATCTTCTACTTTAACATTGACTGAGGTGAAAGGTCATTACAGAAGCTGTACTTTCATTTAAAAGACTTTTTCGTGCTTATAAAACTGACAGGAACTTATATAGATGCTGTCTTATGATAAACAAATTGAAACATGACCTTTGGCAGCAAGACTGACTTTTTTTAGATGATACAGAAACGGCTCTATTCTCGCAGTTGACAAAATAAATATTCACAGGAGATCGTGTAGTTAACTTAGCATGGAAAACTAACTCCAATCTCCACCGCATCCAGTTGCAGTGGTGATTTTCGCCGTCTGCCAATTCCTACAGCATCCATTTATGAGGCGAATTTCTTGGCGGATTACGGACAGTGTTAATCACGAGAACTCACAAGAACCTGCAGATTCACGTTCAATCTCACGATAACAAGTTGTCTCTCTAAAGACAGACACATAGACATATAAGCAGTAGATTGTGTCCTTCCAGAGGAGGAAATCTACTTCTAGACTTCTAGAATCAGCATCTCCTCATCCATGGTGTCATCGGGGTGAAATGACGTCTAAAAACCTTTCACTTGTTCGTCTCCGCCCGTTTGCATGGTGTGAAATATGATCCTCCTGAAACACGGAGTGTTTTATTTTGAAAAGAAGCTGGATGTTTTATTTTGTGTCTGTGCCCGACTTCCTTTCCAGCACGGGTTAATCTGTGCGGAATTTATCCGCCATGCTCCGGCGTTCAAAAATTAGAACTCTTGTGATCAGCTGAGGAGTCCGGCGATCTGCAGAGGAACGGAAAGAAGTCGGTGTAAATTGACACGATAACTTGAACGGTTACGATCAACTACGATTGGAGGATACGACCTTTTCATAGCCGTTCTTGATGCGGTTGAAACTGGGTGTTAGAGGATAAAATAAGGGAAGACTGTTTCTCCACAGGGGGCGCTATAATTGGTTTAAACCAAAAGTTGCTTACAGGAGCTTCAAGTTGAATATTCTGTTTGTTTTTACTCGTCATCATCACGGTCACTTCAGATTCTCTCATTTCATTACGACTCATTAACTGAAGGTAATTGTGCGCCTGTCGGTTTATTGATGAAAACATTTGTACCGTTTTACTTCTGGTCTCCTTTCCTGCATTCGAACCTTTAACCACCTAAACATCCTCCCGGGACTTTAACCTCTCTGAACACACGCACAAATATCAATAATGATTTAGTTATTTCTCCTTTTTCTTCCTTTAGAAAGCTGCGGGGTGTTATCTATCCATCACACATCCGTCTAATTCCACTGGAGTGTCTCGGAGAAAGCCGTCACAATCTTGCTCTCTGCGGGGTGTCAATTGCACATCAATATCGCGCACGTCAATTGCAACGTTGACGTGCATTCAGCCGGAGAGAGAGAGAGAGAGAGGAGCAGACAGGAGGAGGAGGTGTGGTTGATTCTTCAGAGACAATTAAATTTAAGCTCATCATCAAACTGGAAAGGCACATCGAGTGACAGAAAACATCCACTAAATGATCCACTTTGGAGCGTTTCTGTCTTCTCCACTTAAACTCCAGTTCATGTGTTTTTAAAGGTACAGTAGTTTTGACCGGTGTCTTCAAACCGGCTCACAGTTACGAGGGTTACACACATATTACAGTGCATCACTGTTGTCTATAGGTATGAGGATGAGGAGCAGATGAGAACAGCCTCAGGCATCGTTTTCTTGACACTCGTGAAATTGATAAAGCATGCATGAGAGCGCGCTCGCCTCGTTATGTTTGTACCGCGGAGGGTTGATGACGAGTGTGAGCCTTGAATATTTTTAGATGAGATGATGAAACTCTGCATGAAGTCTTTAAGTCTGATGATGATGATGATGATGATGATGATACAACATGGAGGTACAAGCACAGAAACTCACACATAGGAAGTTAAAGAACCTCTCAGGTTTAATGCACATTCGACGAAAACCCAAAAGCCTCTTTTTCTTTCACCGTCAAGTTTGGCATGAGTTTGCAGCATTAGTGACAAACAATTAAAAGCAGATTTAAACCAGATATAGACAGGTAATTAAAGGTCCACTTCAAAAACAAACTCCCCTTAGGTCAAGCGCGATGCGATTTGGCGACTGTCCGGGGGGAAAAAAGACGCGTCCTCAGGTTTTTTAAAAAGCAAGTCATGCAAACAGAAGTCAAAATGAATGTGTCCACACAGATAAAACACAAAGACAGTTTCTGTGACGTCCTCCTGCACAGATCTGAGGTGATGCTGCAGACGAGGAAGAACAAAAACCATCCCCCCCCTTCATCCTCATCTCTGCAGACTCTGCAGCAGAAAACCAGAACAAAGCAGCCGATCTTTAACTTAATCCTGCAACAACACCAATAAAACTTAACTTTAACCTCCAGAGACACGTCTGGAAGTCCTTAATGTTGATTTTCTATAACAGGACGTGATCCTCAGGACTTTATAACTCTGTTTGTCTTTTCTTCTCTGCGCTGCTGTAACTTTAATCGACTTGTTTTTTTGAGTTTCAGTCCAAATCAGCTGGAGAAGATCAAACAAACATGTACTTTTATTCAGATATTACACATGCACTCAGAGACCAAACAGTAAATCCAAACAAAGAGACGACAGAAACCCTCCAAACTTCAGTCAGGTCTCATCCAGGACAGAGGCACAAATTCAGAGTCTGACAACTTCACGCTCTTACAGACATTTTCTTCAATCTTCTGGTTTCACTCCGACTTTCTCCACCAAAGTGAAAACATTTGGTTGATTTTTATGCAGATTTTTCTAACTGCTGCAGGAGCGAGCCGGACTCTAATGGAAGAAGTCCCACAATGCAGTTATCCGTTAATAATGTGTAGGAAGATTGAGTCTGATGATGATGATGATGATGATGATGATGGTGCCTTTTGAAAGCAGCGTCCTCCTCTATAGAGAGTCTATGAAAAGAGCGGCAGGTTTCCACGCATGTGTACTTTCACATGAACCAGAATAGAGCTTTAACTTTGATCTGTGATTATTCAGAAATGAGGGAAAATATACTTTAATATTCTTCTCTCACAGAGAAGCAGCAGAGCAGGATCAGATAAAAACAGATCAGTGAGGGTGTTATATCATCAGGTCACCTTTCTCTGGAACAGAGGACCGACAGGTTTTAACTGATGGTCAGTGTTAGTCCAAAAACAGGTCTGTGCACGGTTACCCACGTTTTAAAATGACACATGCACGAGTTTATTTTATAAGAGGGGCTGCACAATACAGTACAACAGCAGAGTTTAGCAGTGACTTTTATCTGCAGGCCAAAGGTTACGTTCAAGAACTCTTACCCCCAATTTCCACCGCATCCAGAACGGCTACGCTATGGAACGGCAGCGATTTTTACCAATTCCTACCCGATCTGTTTGTGAGACGAGACGAGACGAGAACTCACAAGAACCCGCAGATTCACGTTCAGTCGTGTGATAATGAGTTGTCTCTATAAAGACAGACACATATAAGCAGTAGATTGTGTCCTTCCAGAGGAGGAAATCTACTTCTAGACTTCTAGAATCAGCATCTCCTCATCCATGGTGTCATCGGGGTGAAATGACGTCTAAAAACCTTTCACTTGTTCGTCTCCGCCCGTTTTCAAGGTGTGAAATTCGATCCTCCTGAAACACGGAGCCAAAAAGACGATGTAAGTTTCCATGTCTGACCGTTTCACTTTGGATCGATGTTGATCTACAAAAAGACGACAGAGTTTCACTTCAATCTCGATTGTCTTATTTTTTCCTCCTCTTACCAAACCTTTTCCAACAGCTCTGCACGCCGGGTTGAAGAGAGCTTTTTAAAAACTCGAGCACACCTGTTAACCCGGTAAAACGTTTCTGAGTCCTTGTACTTCCTCCCTGAGCAGCATGTGAAATCAGCGGAGGTTGAATTTGTAGATTTTTATGCAAACTGCCGCTCTGAGCTTCACTTGATTATAAACGACTCACCTTGAGACAGAAAAAGCGTGTCAGAGGTGTTTTTTTTTTTTTTCTGTGTGTAAACAGCAGCAGATAAACAGCCGAGGGCCGTTCAGCGTGAAGACTCCGAGTGATTAGAAACAGTTTACGAGTTTCTCACTCTCTCTCTCTCTGTCTATCAGAAAAGCCGTCTGTCTTTCACCCTCTCTCTCTCTCTCTCTCTCTCTCTCTCTCTTACAGAGCTGTCATTGTTTGACTCCACTCACGCTGACGGATACAGGAGAGGGTGTAAATGTTAAACACATGTACCTCTTGACCTTTACGTCTTTGGTACAAACGCTGTCTGTTTGTTTTTCAGGGATGGATATCGATGTTCGGACAGTTTGGATGCAGAAATATGAAGAAGATATTTCATCAGAACATTCCTGAAACCTTAAAGGAGGGGGTGAATTTTGCAGGATAAGACGATGCAGTAAAGCACCTGTGCAGAAAACGAGTTTATCTTTGCGGCTCTGCTGGCCGACAGAATAAAACTACCCTTTCCTGACGTGAATCTCTTACAGTAAAAGAACTCGCTCTTTCTCTCCTCGTTCGGGGCGCCCCTGTTGGACTTGGTTTGGTGGTTATGGAAGCTAAATCGCTTTTGACAGCAGGAGTGCCGCCGTCAGCCGCCACAGAGACATCATTCTGCGTGTTCTTGTGCGTGCATTTACATGAGTCAGCATGTTCTGTGTGTGTCTATTAAAAGTCCATTTTCTTCACAGATTCTCTCTCAGCCGCTCGTCTGTTCTTGGATCCATCCTGGACCGTTAGTGGATACGAGACGCCCCGATCTGTCTCTGTGACAGTCTGAGCAGCCTGCTGAGAGCGCCGCTGAGGCTCTCCGGGTGATAAATATGAACTTTCTGAACTTCACTTGACATCTCAGAGATCTTTCATGAGCCCTGCTCCTTTAAACCCCTAAAAAAATGAAGTTTCTACATGTCACTGAAAAGATTTAGCCCCAGACTCCTGTGAAACTTCAACGCTTTAAAACTCTCGACCCAAATTCACCAAAGATGTGAGATATGTTTTTATTCCTCGGCACACACTCTTGTCTCTAAAACCTGTGCCTACAGTACCCACAATGCAATTCTGTGGCAGAGGTCACGTTATTGATAGCAGCTAACAAACTTTGAGCCCCAACAGAGACAAAGACCGGATAAAGAGCCTCTTTTTATCACCAGATAATCTTTTATTTCCTTTCTGTGGTCGATTTTCTGATAATTCTGATATAATTCAGTGACTGTTGATCCTCGACTGTCTGTGAAAAAGCTTGAAGTGATTTTACAGTTTGTGTTTTTTCAGGTTTCCTGGTGTTTAATAAAGTAAACTCTGTTCCTTTACGCTGTTACCTTCAGACAGAGTTAGCAGGTCAAAGTCCTGTTGGGGTCCACATGGATCAGGGACCGACCATCGGATTGTTCTATTACTTGTTCACATGTGGTGTTTTATTTTGAAATACCGGATGACATGCGCGGTTTTCGTGCTTGACTTCCTGTCTGGAACAACCTTCTCTGTGTGGATTGTAAGCGTAAAGCTGCAAAAAGAGACTCGCCTCGTATCTTTAGCAGAGCTGCTCTCGATACGACGTTGCGACGGAGCTGATACACTTTCTGTACGCTTTGTTGCATTGATTAGAATGGAAACTTATTTGCTGTGTGATGCGAGACGCTAAATACAGATCCTGTGTGTCTGGCTGCAGAGTTTTGACTTCATGGTAATCTTCGGATATTGTGCTAACAGACGCCAGAATAAAGTCCATCACAGTCGTCCAGTTTGGAAGAGAAAAAAAGACTTTTCTGAGTCAGGAGGAGAGAAGAGTGATCACATCAGTAACAGAGCGTAGAGCTGAGTGTCATCTGCATAGAAGTTAAAGTCTGCATTGAGGATTTACCCCTTATAGCCCGTTCACAGCTACAAAAGAGGACCTAAGCATCTACCTGTCTATCATAGCCGCCATTCCTGCAACTTTTATCATTAAATGTATGAAACTTTGAAATAATTCAACTTTCCAAGCTCTTTAGAAACTCTTTAGCCTCAGACGGACACACAAGAAACGTGGATTTCTGCTAAAAACACAATCTAAATAAATAAAATGCTAAGAAATAGGACATGCAATTAAAAAAATCCCCAATGCAAGAAATCAAGTGTCTATCTGGATAGTTATTCTGACATTTCCCCAATGGAAACAATAAGAACCATCAATAGATGATCAATAAGGAGAGAGTCTATGAGGAAAACAAGGTAAAGGTGCAGGAATATCAAACACACGTCAGACTGATTCTTGATTGTTGGAAACCACGAGTGAAATTCACAGTTTTTCATTCAGGAGGGAAAGTATGGGATCTGTCCTCCACCTCCACACACACACACACACACACACCCAAAAACACAGCTGGAGAAAACACACACTCCTCTGAGTGCACTTTACCTGTTTTTTCTTCCTCAGGTCCAAAGAAAAGCAGAGCAGGCAGGTGTCCATGTCCATTTTCAGCACACTGTGGGAGTGCAAATCAGGCTTTTCTTTGTGTTTCACCAGATACATCTGAAAAAAAGGGGGAAAAACACCCATGCATGTGCACTGCTTAATAGAATCGACACAGAGAGAGTGTGTGTGAGTGTGTGTTTCTGTCTTTGTGAGAGCTTCTCCTCGACGGTGGTACAATGTCTCGCTGGAAAACAGGAACTTTGCTGTGAAGAAAGCATCAAAAACTAATGACAGGCTCACACTAACCACAGGGGGACAAGCACAACATGTACTTTCTAAAATGAATCAGTTTTTTTAAGTGGACCGCGCGGTTCTGAAAAACGGACAAAAGGCGAGACGGCGGATAAAAGAAAGACTCCGATGAAGTTAAAAATCTGAGAGGTGGCACCAAATGTTTTTTTTTTTTTATCAGGTCTCCTCAGAAACTGGAGGTGAGGACATACCCTCACTACTTAGAAAACCCTGTTGCAGATTTTTATTGATAATCATAATCAAACATTATTCTGATTCATCGCTACGTTGACGACACTCTGCTGTATCTACGTTTGTGTGGATACAGGATAAGGGTATTCGTGGCCTGTGAGTGACACTATTTCAGCTTCAGAGACATTATTATGGTTCAAACTTCTTATTCAGGAACAAAACTATCCTCTAGATTTGTCAGGATAAAGAAAGAGTCATGGAGAGCATGGATGTTCAAGTGAAACAGAATTTACAGAGAGATCTGTACAAAAGCCGCCGCCGTCAGAGTCTCAGGGGTCTTTTATAGACATTTGTAAAGGAGACCTCAAACACACGTGTGGAGTCAAACACCATCTGACCTGGACGAGAATAACGTGACCTCTTCACCTCATCTGCGACTACAGCGAGAGAAAAACCAGCATCAAACTGAATACAGGCTTTTCTGATGAAAACATGATTAAAACTAACAAGATTAAAAAGCATTGGTGCTACTGTAGATGCCAACAGACTACCAGCAAACACAATGTTTGCAGGACTTCTACAACGAGGATAAAGTGACATAGTCCAGGACCCGAGGGAGGACAGTTTAGCGATGGCGCTACAACACGCTACAGCAGGTCCGTTTGACAAGAAACACTTCTGTTACAGACACTTGTCTTACTTTGTTAAAGCGGTTTACCTGTCCAGCAGAAAGGTTACAGGGTCACCAAGATCCCCAAGCGTCCCCCATCGTTTATGTTGACCCGGCTTTTTAACTCTTGTCCGGTCTACCTCCGTTTTAAGCGCCCGTTATTCCTCCAGAGTCTCCGGTATTTACTTTGTTTTTCTTGCTTGTGTCGGCAGTCGTGGCCAAAGGAGGATTCAGACAATTTTCCGAACTTTCTGGTTGGTTTCTACTGTCCGATATTGTAGCACGCTAACTTTGTTTGGGCTCCTGAACGACACGGGGGAGCAGCGTCTGCCTCACAACCAATCAGGATGGGGGAGGCGGAGAATGGCTTTGTTTACAGTCAGAAAGAGCGGCGTGCTCTGAAATTTTAAAAAGTTGACTACACAGACATAAGAGAACACAGAGATATCGTGATATTACCAAATGTCATCAATAACTAATAACTATTGACTGATATTAGAAGCTGTTTTGTAAATACACCACAAAAAAAGATGCTTCTTTAACTGATTCCTGCCTACAACACCTTTAACTCATAAACCCATCTTCCGCATTGAAGGAAAAATCTCATGACATCTTCTTCTTCTTCTTCTTCTCTTATTTACACCCTCGACCTCCAAACAGTCCCCCTCAAGGTGTAAATAAAAAACCGTACCCTCCTACCCCGGCACAAAAGCTTTCAAAGCCCTCGACTTGATGGATCGCTGAGATTGAAGGAACCTTATGTGGCATGACACACACACACACACACACACACACACACAGATGGTCCAATCTGTCCTGAGAATCTGAGCCGTTCGCTCTTGTGCGCCTGCTCTCTGCTCTGAAGGTCACTGTTTTCTGTATCAGTGACAGAATCAGGAATTTTCCATCTTTCCTGACAGATTCAGGCCTCAGGGAGATTTTTCCAACGCCAGAGTCAAAGGTTGTGTGCATGTATGTGTATGTGTGCGTGTGTGTGAACATACTGGCGTTACGGTGCTGACATGTGCAAGGACACCCTAGAGCACGTGTGTATGTGCATGAATCTGTCGAGATGAGAAAACATTCATTTTCCCACCAGGGGATTCCTTTTGAACGCGCACATTAGCAGGCTGGAAACACGCCGTCTGACACACGCTACCTTCACAGCATATACGACTCTTCTTGATGCTGTGGTGCAGCTAATAACACAGGATACATGCACTGAATGTTGAGTAAGCTGAGGCAGAATTTACATATGTTCTGGTGCCATGTTTTCTGTCTGATAGGGTCATTTTTAAAGCTGTTGACACAAGGAGACAATCGGACAGTTGTTCCAGACTTCAAACACGATGGGCCCTCTTTTTGTAACACTCCAAAATCATGGTCTATGGCACAAAGTAAATCAAAGTGTGTCTAACCACTTATAAGTCGTCAAGCAGCACTTTTGAGGATTGAAAAATGAGCCTATAACTCTGTTTTGGCCAGTTTCTATGTGCATCTGCATGTGTGCAGTGGTGCGCATGATGGAGAGCTTGACCTGTGCACGGCTGAGGTTACGCTGGTCTGTCAGGAGATATCAGTACGAGTGTTCTCGTCTTCTTTCAGTCTGAGATCCTGATGCATTTCTGTGAGGACTGTGCAAAGTGGACTCAGATGGTTTCTACGATCTTGCAGGAAAACACGGCTGCACCATGGGCTTCAGACTTTGGACTAGGTTTTTGTCTGTCAAACTCGGGATGCGGATGGCCGTGATGTTTGCCGTACGATCGGCGGATATGACTTTTTTGTAGCCATTCTGGATGTGGTGGAAATTGGGGTTAAGTCTGAGATGGGAAAGAGTCACTTTTTGCAAGCCCAAGTTTAGTCTCTCAGAGTGTCAATATATCATATAACAATAAAACCAAGGCTGAAGAGACATTATCTCATTTATCAGATTGGACATAGACAAGAGTAAGGAGCCAATGGTAATCGTTAAGTTATTGATCACAGGAAGTTGTCATAAAGGATGACAAATGACTGAATATGTTGGTAAATATCAGAAAAGGCCTTCAGGTGATGTGGTGTGGGAAATTACAGATGGAGACCAAAATTCAAAATAGAAAGACTGTCCATGATTGTCCAAGTTGAGACAAGTCATGTTAGAGTGCGACTTCCGTCCAAGACTCAAACTCAGTGCACCACTTCTGCACCTAACCACGCCTCATTTCAAATGTGGGTGCAAATTCACTCCCCATTGGCCCTGTGTGCACCAGATTACCAGTACCTGCAGACGACTAACTAACTGTAACATGAGAATGTGCGATTACATAACCACAGGTCCCCAGTGGACGTTTTTAACACAGTCATGGACACAGCTCTGGGTTGATTTCAGGTGAAACATTTACAGAGAATAAAACTGAAACAGCGATGCTGCATTTACGCCGCGTCGAAGGCGCTCCTGACCTTCTTATCCTTGCTTGCCTTTGTGCTTTTCCCTCTCTATATTTCTCTCCTCCTCTCCTCCTCCGGCGATATCAGCACCGGTATTATTTTGACCAGGACGTCACCGCTGACAAATACCCTCGTCCCACAGGGGCCCAATCTCCCCATCCTTCTTCCCACAGAGGTGCCCTTCATGTAAGTGGGAAAATTTAGCATCTGTCTCTAACACACACCGGTGTACACACACACGCTCGCTCTGCATTCAAACCCGGGTGACAGATTCACAGTAAGAGTTGAGTTATTACATGATTCAGACCTTTGTCTCCTTGTCAGCTGAGATGATTCATGCCTCTGGGTGCCCCTGTTCGCCGCCCGCCCGGGCCTCCCCTCCCCCTCCTCAGTTTGTCTGTTTCTCACAGTCAAATGCTTATTCATGAATGTACACACAGATATACACTCCAGGCGGCCGTATCTGCGCCTCTGGAAATATGACGGTGCTGTAAATCACTGCCCTGAAAGTGAGCTCAGACTACCGAGCAGAAAGGTCACAGTTAATATTAGTCAGTTCAAGAGTTATAATGCATCAAAAGCTTAAAGTCAAACACAAGATAAAGAGCTGAATCATAAATGTGAAAGTTGACTCGAGTTCAGACAGCGAACAGCCTGTCCAAGTCTGCTCTGGTCCTCATTAGACATGCTGTTTTCTCATCGGCTGAAACAAACAGGAAAGAGTCGTCAGCGTAGGGTCGAGATAAATCTGAACATATCAGCGTGGGAGCAAAAGGACAGTCATAAATAAGTTTCTTTAACATGCAGCCCTTCTGACTTACTGCTATAAGGTTGATCCTCTGATCCCAGGAACCAAATTTACATGGAAATTATTCAGTGGAAATGCTGAGTCAGCATTTCACGGGTTCTACATTTATATGACTTCTTCTTTAGTTCTTTAACAGCTTCTACATTCAAACTCTTTCTCCCTATTACTCTGCATGTGCTCTTCAACAGTTCCTACATTTGTGAATCTTCTGCTTCTTCAGCTCTTCAACAGTTCCTACATAAATGCATTGTTCAAATTCAGCTCTTCAACTATTCATTCTTTCATACAACCTCTCCTTCTTCCATTTTAGCTCTTCAACATTTTCTATATTCATATAACTTCCTTTTGAGTTACTTCCAGCCCTTTAACTGTAACTATATTCATACTTCTTCAGTTCTTTAACAGTTTTTACATTAAAACTTTCTCCTTATTACTCTGCATATGCTCTTTAACAGTTTCTACATACATGCAACTTCTATTTCTTCAGCTCATCAACAGTTTCTACATAAAAACATTCAATTTCAGTTCTTTCATACATCCTGTGCTTCTTCTACTTTAGCTCTTCAACATTTTCTACATTTATTCAACCTCTCCTTATTTTTTAGTTCTTTAACAGGTTCTACATTCAAACTCTTTCTTCTTATTATTCTGCATATGCTCTTCAACAGGTTCTATATTCATACAACTTCTACTTCTTCAGCTCTTCAACAATTCGTTCTTTCAGACAACCTCTTCTTCTTCTATCCTCAGTGCCTGAACATTTCTCTATATTTATACAACCTTTGCCTCTTAGCTTCATTACTTCTTCTACCTTCTTCTACATGGAGGGACTAACTGCAAATCTTCTCTCTGATATTGAACCGGTAGAAGCACCAGATGACAGTGGCTAATGTGTCTATATGAATTGAACTTATCCTGATTGATCATGTACGTAAGCTTTAAAACATCTGCAGTTAATCCTCTCAAGGTCTTTCTCTCTCAGTCTGACTTTCTTCGTCCACGTCTTCACGCCGTCTCGTCATTCACCGCTCTGCTCCATCTCCTCACCGCATGGCTTCAGCACGTCGCCCACATTTCCATATCTGATCGGCCCAGCACCCTCCCCTCCCCTTATCTCTGTCCACTCGGCTGCGTACAGATGTGTCGGCGGTGTCGAACCTGTGTTAAATAAGCCTGCGAGCTCAGCGGGACGCTTCTCTGGCGCCGGAAGAACAGATGTAATCCCCCCTCTGTTTGAATATGGCTTACAAAGTGAAAGCTTCCCTGCACACCTGCCTCACAGATAGCCTCGTGCAAACAGCTCGAGCCGTGTTTGTTAAAAGAGCGGGCCGCGCTTATCTCCTCCCGCACAAAGTGGACGTTGGGCAATCGAACAGAGCAGCCCACAGGGAAGGCATCAAGGCCGGCTGTTATCCTGAGTCAAAAACAACACAAAAGTGAGAGTGGTTTGGATGTTTCCTCCACATTGTTTCTTGACTATTTCTTTAAGACAAAACAGGTCATACTTTGGTTTATTTATATTATAATGCATATGAAGAAATACATAAAGCAGCTCAATCCAGAGGCTTTAAAGGCATGATTGACGATTGTAGAGATTGGTAATTATTATGAACCTCGTTTCTATGGTGATCATGGTCCTATAGTGCGATCTCCACAAAGTGAAGAGAAAAAAGAACGGAACAAATCTGTTCACCCTATCAGGTGCAGGGCTGCAAAAACATTGACCAATAGGAGCCATCCATCCCAGACAGCTCCTATTGGTTCAGGGGGGGAGTTATCGTGGAGCACAGATGGGAGAGGTTTGTGTGTGGGGGGGTGGGACGCTTTCTTCAAATCTGCTAGTTTTTTCTACTGCTTCTCAGATGGTCAACCATGACTTTAACACGTGACGCAGCATGTTATAGTTGAGATAGACTCATTGTTAAACTTGGTGCTGCATGTTCCTGATAGAGACTGACATTGCTGTCATAGATAAGTGAGGCTTCAGTAATAATATAATGTATGCAACACTGTTCTAACTTATAATGCTGATTTGGAGCTGAGGGATGTTTTCGTCCCCTCCGCTGACATTTCCCTCCTCCCCTCATTTCACAAAATTAAGCCGAGCTGTTTGTGTTTTCTCCGACAAACTAATGGACTGCATTTGTTCATTTGTTTTGCACTGCAAACTCAAAATGGAACGCTTAAAGTTTTATGAATTTGGCTTTTGCACTTTCCGAGCCCGAATATTTCTCTGTAAGCAGCGTTCGCTGACCACTCGCAACCTCGGACTCTCCATTATAGGAGATGAAATAGTAATGACGACAACAAACCAATAAAGAAAACAAGGAAAGGAAAAGTTCAGCTCCAGCGCTGATCTTTGACTCACAACCGCCTCTCCCATCAAACAGGAGACGTCGGTTTGATTTCCTGCTGAGCACTTCCCATGATGCTTTAAGGAAGATGTTTTTTATAGTTTGGACGAGTTCATAAAAGCAGCCAAAATGAAATTCTCATTTTCTGGCAGATATTTGCGCTGACCTGCAGGTCTTTCGATTAGTGTGTGCATTTCTCCGATCCCTCTTCTCCGGCACATTTCCTAAGTCTGCTGCCCTTTCTTTTTATACTCCACATTTACTCTGCACTCACAGAAATATTAATATTTGATGGGCCACAGTTGGAGAAATGCAAGTATAGCCTCCACATGTGCAGCGGTAGAAACGCACAAGAGTGGACAGGAGGCGTCGAAATTCAGAAATGCTTTGAGGCGTTTTTCACGGGGTGACGGAGACGGTTCACTGGAAGAGAAAGAAGTGACTATTTGACTGCAGATGGACGCCAGCAGACAGGGGGCCTGATTTTCGTGCCTCGCGTGGCGCAGGCGCAGCATAAGTCAGGTCCTCCACGTCAATAAAGCATGCCCAAGTTCATTTTGGTATTGTGGTGAGCGGCACAGCTAGGCGTAGGTATCCCCCCTCCCTAACTCAGCTCCTCCCAGCGGCTAAAGTCGTAGAGAGGGAGGGGATAAGGCGTGGAGTGGGTTTAACACAGCCGAGACCTGTTTTCACCAATCACATCAGCGCCTCTCCTCACCATTAAATCTGCCACTGGCGAGGCATATTACAATTTTTGTGATGTAGTCAAAGAGATCAAGAGATGTCTGACGATAGCAATGCAACACAATGGCGAGAGAAGGCAGCCCCTCGCTGTAAGCACTGTGGAGGGCTGTGCACCGGGCTCCGCCAGATGAAAATACCTCTGCATGGGGTGCACCATCCTCTCTGCCGCGCCACTAGAGGGCACGAAAATAGAGCCCAGGAGGTTAGCTGCTTCTGTTTGCTACGTGGAATAACTCAACAGCCAATCGGAACGGCAAAATACACAATGCTAAACGAAATCACAAAAGTATGGTCACTGTTTCTGTTGTTAAACAAACGCTGATTCTTGTGCAGAGGCCTGGAGCTGAGTTATTAACAGTGAGGACAAATACAAACAGAAGGAGAACAGCATGGATAGAAGAGGTCGGTCCTTCCTGCAGATGAACAGACGGCTCCTTTAAAGCGACCTCACATGCCTCCATATTTCTCACTGTTTCAACCCAAACTGTTTCATTGTCTGCACGATTACCGCAGACAGACCAAAGTTGCCTCATCCCTCCCTCTCTCCGCCGACTGCTCTGCTTCTCTCTGACTGTTCAGCATCATTTCCAGCAGCTGTTGAGAAAAGTACAGTTTCATTAAACCTGCTGAATGCGGCGTGCAGACAGAAGGAGTGTGAACACGGAGGGGTTTACGATGATCGAGGCGCCCTTCTGCACTTTTGATATCTACAAACTCTCAAATAAATTCATGTCAGGAGTTATAAAGTGAGCCGTAAAGAGGGGTCGAGGAGAGGACAGTAAATGTGATGCTGCACAATGCTGGAGAAAACTAACAATGCATCGCTGCCCTTTTCTGCAACACAGTAAATACAGGAACATACAAAATACATGCAGGGAGTTTTTATAATTAATTTACATAACTGTTTTGAAAAGCCAGAGGTTTTGCATACATGAGTTTCAGATTCAAGCCTTTTATACTCTCTGTAAATTTGGATCTTCTTCATCAAAGTTTAGATTTATCAAACAGGAACATAAACAGCATTTAGAGTTAATCCATTTCCAGCATGAGGCAATCAGAGGAGCCACATTTAAATATAGATATATATACACAAGGTAACCAAATACTGTCTGTCCAAAAGGAAGCCAAAGTTAGAAGCTGAAGCAGCCGACCAAATACCTGAGCAGGTGTTGATGATGCAGAGACGTCCATTTCCATCTTTAGGGTGTTACTTCTGCTCATGCTCAGCTGTATCTAAGCTCTGTTAAAGGAATATTCCGACATTCCGACTCTTCCAGCAGCCGTTTGTTTGTTTGTAGCGAGACCTCAGGCCAGTCCATTACAGACTACAGCGGGGTGAGGCAGCTCAGGGAAGAACATTTATGATCATTTCTTCATGGAAATACAATCAGACCGAGACGCTAAGACAGAAGAACTACTGCGTCTGCAGAGAAAATGATTAATATGATGATTATTACTTCAAGGAAATGATAAAGTAGTGATCATAAGTGTTCTTCCTTGAGCTGCGTCACCCCGCTGTAGTCCGTAATGGACTGGCCTGAGGTCTCTCTACAAACAAGTAGCTGCTGGAAGAGAGTAGGTGAGTTGTGTTTAGTCTCTTTGCTAAAGAAATGAGTCAAAGTTAAAAAGATGTTTGGTGTCTAGTACTATGTCTGTGACCCTATATGTCCTGTTGATGAAGTTAGGTGCTGTTCTGAGCATTATTTGTGGCTATAGAGTGGCGTTTTGGTTGAGTGCGTGTCTCTCTGTATTACTATCCTGCGGTCGTTACTAAAGTCTGTTTAACTAGAGAAGCAAGCGGTCGGCAACATTCATCTCTGGAGGGGGGGTCTAACTCGGTGTTACGGTGGAATATCCCTTTAAGATGCAAACTTTGTCATTACACTGAATCTTTGTTTGTGATTGACCTTGCTCTCGTAAACCTGGGAATGATCCCAAGTCTTTCTCCTGTTACACATAAACTTGTAGTGTAAAGTTAGTGTGTGTTTGCAGCTTCTATTTTTGTGTGTGTGTATTAACCCCGTCACGGCCCTCCCTCTGATGACTGCATGAACACACCTGCTCTGCATTGTTTGGAGGATAAACCCACATTGACTCATATTTACACTCGTTCACAGACTCTGTTTAAATGGAAACTCGAGGACCTCACTGGGATGAACATATATATCTCTGTAATACTAGCATCATAGTGTTTACAGCGTGTTTGTTTTCCCGTCTGTGTGTGTGTGTGGACGCAGTGTTTCTCTTCAACTTGCAGCGGTGATGTCATGCTGTAGCGGGCGCCTACTGTAAAAGGAAAAACCTGCCAAGTCATTTCAGAAAGCCTCAGCTTTGAGAGATTAAGAGGATTAAAACCGGGACAGGGTTTTGTCCAAACGGCAGAGCTTTAAATGGACGATGCTGCTGCTGCTCCAACACCGTGTGGACAGTGTCCCCCCGGGGGGCTGGAATCACCACTGTTGTCTCCTCTCCTTCAAATGAGCAGCACAGCCCGCTTCCTTCCCCTCAGACTCGTCTCCAAGCTGCTGCGCTTTGTTGCTGATCAGACTGAAAATGCACCTCTGACATCCTGGACTCGCCATAGCTGGTTTTTCTGCGACTGTGAGGTCGACACTCGGACGATTAAATCAAAGTTTACATCTGTGACTTATCTGCTCTGTTTGACATCACAGTGTTAAAACGTCCTCACTGTTTCTGAATGGAAACCATGAACTCGTGTGTGTGTGTGTGTGTGTGTGTTAGAGTGTGTGTGTGTTTGTGTTTGTGTGTGTGTGTGTGTGTGTGTGTGTGTTTGTGTGTGTGTGCTCAGGCTCCATTCATAGACGCGTTTACTCGAAACATGGCCGAAGCTTCATGGAATCCATCACCATAGTGACATGGCAGACGTTTTGCTCATGCTGTTGCCATGGGAACCTTTCAGACACAGACCATTTATTTTGTGCCAAAGGAGAGAAAAATTCGTCCCCAGAACTCTTGACTCTATCGTGGAGATTTATTGCAGATTTCTGCACGCGCCTAAAGACGCTGACGGACGTTCAGAGAAGAGTGACTGATTTATCCGACCCACACTGTCCAACCTGCTCCTCTCCTCTTTTCTTCTCCTCTCTTTCTTCGCTTCTTCGCCGCTGCTAATTGAAGCGTTTGCGTTAAAAAGACCTGGGGAAGGTTGTGAGGGGCTCTCTTTAATGAAGTCTGATCTCATTAAAAGATACAGCCGCCGATGTAAGCGCAAAGGGAAAAAACACGCAGAGACAAAGGAGACGAGGCCACGGAGAGTAACAGCAGGTTGTTCTGCACATAATGAAACGCAGCCATTAACAATGCACCAATCACAGGATTAATATGCACAGAGCGGGCGTGCTCATTCAAACCCACGTTCTTGAAGAGTCGTTCGGCGGCGTGCTGCTGATGTGGAAACTTTGATGTATAACAAGCCCGTTATGTCGTAATAGGTCGATATGTGCTCCCGACTTTTCCAAATGTTGATGCAGAAATTCACTGACAGCTCTCTTTGCCCTGAGCTTCGCCTCTCAGGTTCAACACAGGCTACAACCCTTCCTGAGCAGCTCTAATTTCTCTATTCTGTGCCTCCTCATATCCTCTCACCTCCATCCTTCTGCCTGTGACCTGAAAATCGATCTCAGCGTGCCGTCTTGGAGGATGTCTTTATTCCTGAAAAGCTTCTTCAGAGGAAGAGGAGGCTGCCTGAGGAGAGTGCTGAGGGAGGATGCTCAGGAGTTTCCTTTACCTGAAGGCGTTTTGAGCTCCTGTGATGTACAGAAGAGTCCGGACACGGACCGGGATACAAACACGAGAGGGAGAGGGGTCGCAAAGTTTGAGACCACACTTCAAATCTGTGATATTTTCAGGTACGAACCTCAATTCAACTGAAATAAAAAGGTAAATAAAATCAGAAAACGATGATTTGAAAATCCTCTATTTGATTCAATACATGACAAAGACAAGATATTACAAATTCATATTGAATTTAATGGAGAATAATCAATGTAAGTGTTGTGCCGTTCATGAACGATTCGTTCAAAAGAACGGAACTGCTGAGTGAACGATGTCAGTGGAATCACTCCAAGACCTGAGCTCAGCTGTGAGCCTGACGTACCGATCGGAGGTGGAACTGCCGTCTTGACTCTTTGGCAAACGACACACAGCGAGCGAGCGGGTGGAGTCACGTGATTGGCTCACAGCGAATGAACGACACGTATCAGTCAGACTGTGAAAATAAACGACTTCCGAATGATTTAAGGCAAGCAGAGGAGGGAGGGGTGTAGCGTCGTTTACGAGCAGCGGTTTATTGACTGAGGCTAAAACAGGTCATTATGGCGTCTTTACATTAAAACACGTTTTTAAACTTTCCTTTAGGAAGGATTTAATTTCAGCCGATTTAAAGAAATACAATAATTGATATCTTTAGAAGAATCTGAATCCTCGCTACAGCTGACATGTTTGTTTATTTATAATTTCTCCACTTTTCCACCATATAAAAGAACGACGACTCGTGCTCGTTTAGCGGGCGTGCTGCTCGCTGCTGTGTTGTTTCCGCCGTTTTTCAGGGCAGGGGAGTGATTCTTCCTGCAGGACTTGGCGAATGAACGACATGAGTCACCCAGTGAACGACGCTGTGACTTCAGCTGCAGGGGAGGGGAGGGGCTAATGAACGAACTTGCCGCTGTGTCACTCACTGGTGTACTGCACCGACAGAATGGGGCTCTGAAGCTCTGACTGATTCAGTGAACGAATCATTTGAACTAATCTTTTTAATGAGCGGATTCTAAAGATTCAGTCAAAAGAACTGATCTTCCCATCACTGATCGATGTGTCCCACTGTTTCAGGGTGAAATTATCCATCCTGTTCAGTTCTGCTCCGGTTGATGTGAATCTCCCTCAGAAACATGTAAAAATCTGTTTATTCCTTCATGTTCGTCCTGATTAATTCAGTTTTATTTATTTAGGGTCAAAGCAAAGTTAATTACTGTGCACAAGAAACAATCTCAGCCGTAAACAAAAGTTTACCCCTGGGGGAAAACATGCAGGACTTAGAGAAAACAAAAGGAGAAATTACAGAGGAAAAGAAAAAAGAGTCTGAGCGTTATCCAATCAGCTCGGACAGAGTGAAGGTTTCCGTCTGCCAGAGAGGAGGCCATGTGTTTTAAATCCGTCCTCAGCGTCTGTGACAAAGCCTGTCACCACCAACGCCGCCTCCCTATCCCTGTTTGACCAACCGCGCACACATACCGTCCTTCACATGTCAACACACTGACACTTGATCCTAATTGGCCACTACTGCAGCGAGGGAGAGTCTCGTCTCCCAGGAAGAGGAGTTTAAATCCAGCCTGTGAAACCTGAGCTCGCCCACGGGGTCATTTCTCCCTGGGTGGGGAATCAAAATGTGACAAACACAAACAAGAAGAGCTCCAGTTTGGGTCCAGACGTCATTTCTGAGCGGACACATCAAACGGGAAACCCAGACTCCCGTCTCGTCAGTCAACTGGACCTCCATTCCTGACAGGTCAGGGGAGAAGTTCACTCCTCTTCATCAAACGCTCCTTCATTCCCGCCTGTCGACAAACCCGGGTTCATGTTCCCACATTAATGCTCGCACTCCGAAAGCTAAGCTGTGTAAATATGAGCAGGCTTACCTTATTCTTGATAATCTGTTGATAGTGATTATGACCAACCTGGGAAATACAGCTAAGCCCTGAGTCTTGACTGGGAGGTGTTAAAAGGCTAAGACCAGGAATCATTCAGCGCACACATTTCTGACCCAGTATGTGGAGGTTTGGAGAGCTTCTGCTTCTGCTGGGTCCATAAACTCAAAACGTCTCATCCTGCTGCTTTTACTGCTTTTACAGAGGGACTATAACTGCAAAAAAAAAAACACAAATGGACAAATCAGCCTGTTTGAAAAGATAAAATAGTGATATATTATCAGTATATGGGCTTATATGGTGCCACACACAATGTAACAGAGAACAGAGGAAGAAGAAGAAACAGCAGCAGATCTCTGAGAGATCATAAAAACTGACATTTAAAGATTTATTATGAATCCACAAACAGCTGACATTTAGACTTCCTGACTGACTTAATAAGATAGTTTGACAATTGAGGCGCCTCGACCCCAGATTGTAAACATTCAACATGTTAGATTTGTATGACTCCAGGTTGGTGAGGATTCAACGCAGACACCAGACCCTTGACAAGTAATC